TGTGCTGTGCTCTGACGTTGCCAATGTCTGTGCTGTGCTCTGACGTTGCCAATGTCCTGTGCTGTGCTCTGACGTTGCCAATGTCCTGTGCTGTGCTCTGACGTTGCCAATGTCCTGTGCTGTGCTCTGACGTTGCCAATGTCCTGTGCTGTGCTCTGACGTTGCCAATGTCCTGTGCTGTGCTCTGACGTTGCCAATGTCCTGTGCTGTGCTCTGACGTTGCCAATGTCCTGTGCTGTGCTCTGACGTTGCCAATGTCCTGTGCTGTGCTCTGACGTTGCCAATGTCCTGTGCTGTGCTCTGACGTTGCCAATGTCCTGTGCTGTGCTCTGACGTTGCCAATGTCCTGTGCTGTGCTCTGACGTTGCCAATGTCCTGTGCTGTGCTCTGACGTTGCCAATGTCCTGTGCTGTGCTCTGACGTTGCCAATGTCCTGTGCTGTGCTCTGACGTTGCCAATGTCCTGTGCTGTGCTCTGACGTTGCCAATGTCCCGTGCTGTGCTCTGACGTTGCCAATGTCCCGTGCTGTGCTCTGACGTTGCCAATGTCCTGTGCTGTGCTCTGACGTTGCCAATGTCCTGTGCTGTGCTCTGACATTGCCAATGTCCGTGTGTCTGAGGCCAATGTCCGTGCTGTGCTCTGACGTTGCCAATGTGTCCTGCTGCTGTGCTCCTGACGTTGCCAATTGTCCCTGTGCTGTGCTCTGACGTTGCCAAATGTCCCGTGCTGTGCTCTGACGTTGCCAATGTCCTGTGCTGTGCTCTGACGTTGCCAATGTCCGTGCTGTGCTCTGACGTTGCCAATGTCCGTGCTGTGCTCTGTGACCGTCTGATGTTGCAATGTCCGTGCTGTGCTCTGACGTTGCCAATGTCCTGTGCCTGTGCCTGTGCTCTGACGTTGCCAATGTCCCGTGCTGTGCTCTGACGTTGCCAATGTCCTGTGCTGTGCTCTGACGTTGCCAATGTCCCGTGCTGTGCTCTGACGTTGCCAATGTCCCGTGCTGTGCTCTGACGTTGCCAATGTCCTGTGCTGTGCTCTGACGTTGCCAATGTCCCGTGCTGTGCTCTGACGTTGCCAATGTCCCGTGCTGTGCTCTGACGTTGCCAATGTCCTGTGCTGTGCTCTGACGTTGCCAATGTCCTGTGCTGTGCTCTGACGTTGCCAATGTCCTGTGCTGTGCTCTGACGTTGCCAATGTCCTGTGCTGTGCTCTGACGTTGCCAATGTCCCGTGCTGTGCTCTGACGTTGCCAATGTCCTGCCTGCTGTGCTCTGACGTTGCCAATGGTCCTGTGCTTGTGCCTCTGACGTTGCCAATGTCCTGTGCTGTGCTCTGACGTTGCCAATGTCCTGTGCTGTGCTCTGACGTTGCCAATGTCCTGTGCTGTGCTCTGACGTTGCCAATGTCCTGTGCTGTGCTCTGACGTTGCCAATGTCCTGTGCTGTGCTCTGACGTTGCCAATGTCCTGTGCTGTGCTCTGACGTTGCCAATGTCCTGTGCTGTGCTCTGACGTTGCCAATGTCCTGTGCTGTGCTCTGACGTTGCCAATGTCCTGTGCTGTGCTCTGACGTTGCCAATGTCCTGTGCTGTGCTCTGACGTTGCCAATGTCCTGTGCTGTGCTCTGACGTTGCCAATGTCCTGTGCTGTGCTCTGACGTTGCCAATGTCCTGTGCTGTGCTCTGACGTTGCCAATGTCCTGTGCTGTGCTCTGACGTTGCCAATGTTCCTGTGCTGTGCTCTGACGTTGCCAATGTCCTGTGCTGTGCTCTGACGTTGCCAATGTCCTGTGCTGTGCTCTGACGTTGCCAATGTCCCTGTGCTGTGCTCTGACGTTGCCAATGTCCTGTGCTGTGCTCTGACGTTGCCAATGTCCTGTGCTGTGCTCTGACGTGCCAATGTCCTGTGCTGTGCTCTGACGTTGCCAATGTCCTGTGCTGTGCTCTGACGTTGCCAATGTCCTGTGCTGTGCTCTGACGTTGCCAATGTCCTGTGCTGTGCTCTGACGTTGCCAATGTCCTGTGCTGTGCTCTGACGTTGCCAATGTCCTGTGCTGTGCTCTGACGTTGCCAATGTCCTGTGCTGTGCTCTGACGTTGCCAATGTCCTGTGCTGTGCTCTGACGTTGCCAATGTCCTGTGCTGTGCTCTGACGTTGCCAATGTCCTGTGCTGTGCTCTGACGTTGCCAATGTCCTGGCTGTGCTGTTGCCTCCGTCCTGACGTTGCCAATGTCCTGTGCTGTGCTCTGACGTTGCCAATGTCCTGTGCTGTGCTCTGACGTTGCCAATGTCCTGCGCTGTGCTCTGACGTTGCCAATGTCCTGTGCCTGGTGCTGCTCTGACGTTGCCAATGTCCTGGCTGTGCTCTGACGTTGCCAATGTCCTGTGCTGTGCTCTGACGTTGCCAATGTCCTGTGCTGTGCTCTGACGTTGCCAATGTCCTGTGCTGTGCTCTGACGTTGCCAATGTCCTGTGCTGTGCTCTGACGTTGCCAATGTCCTGTGCTGTGCTCTGACGTTGCCAATGTCCTGTGCTGTGCTCTGACGTTGCCAATGTCCTGTGCTGTGCTCTGACGTTGCCAATGTCCTGTGCTGTGCTCTGACGTTGCCAATGTCCTGTGTGTCTTGACGTTCTGTTGCTTCTTGACGTTGCAATGTCCTGTGCTGTGCTCTGACGTTGCCAATGTCCTGTGCTGTGCTCTGACGTTGCCAATGTCCTGTGCTGTGCTCTGACATTGCCAATGTCCCGTGCTGTGCTCTGACGTTGCCAATGTCCTGTGCTGTGCTCTGACGTTTCCAATGTCCTGTGCTGTGCTCTGACGTTGCCAATGTCCTGTGCTGTGCTCTGACGTTGCCAATGTCCTGTGCTGTGCTCTGATATTGCCAATGTCCCGTGCTGTGCTCTGACGTTGCCAATGTCCCGTGCTGTGCTCTGACGTTGCCAATGTCCTGTGCTGTGCTCTGACGTTGCCAATGTCCTGTGCTGTGCTCTGACATTGCCAATGTCCCGTGCTGTGCTCTGACGTTGCCAATGTCCTGTGCTGTGCTCCGACATTGCCAATGTCCCGTGCTGTGCTCTGACGTTGCCAATGTCCCGTGCTGTGCTCTGACGTTGCCAATGTCCTGTGCTGTGCTCTGACATTGCCAATGTCCCGTGCTGTGCTCTGACGTTGCCAATGTCCCGTGCTGTGCTCTGACGTTGCAAATGTCCTGTGCTGTGCTCTGACGTTGCCAATGTCCCGTGCTGTGCTCTGACGTTGCCAATGTCCTGTGCTGTGCTCTGACGTTGCCAATGTCCTGCGCTGTGCTCTGACGTTGCCAATGTCCCGTGCTGTGCTCTGACATTGCCAATGTCCCGTGCTGTGCTCTGACGTTGCCAATGTCCGGTTCTGTGCTCTGACGTTGCCAATGTCCTGTGCTGTGCTCTGACGTTGCCAATGTCCCGTGCTGTGCCCTGACGTTGCCAATGTCCCGTGCTGTGCTCTGACGTTGCCAATGTCCTGTGCTGTGCTCTGACGTTGCCAATTTCCCGTGCTGTGCTCTGACGTTGCCAATGTCCTGTGCTGTGCTCTGACGTTGCCAATGTCCTGTGCTGTGCTCTGACGTTGCCAATGTCCCGTGCTGTGCTCTGACATTGCCAATGTCCCGTGCTGTGCTCTGACGTTGCCAATATCCGGTTCTGTGCTCTGACGTTGCCAATGTCCTGTGCTGTGCTCTGACGTTGCCAATGTCCCGTGCTGTGCTCTGACGTTGCCAATGTCCCGTGCTGTGCTCTGACGTTGCCAATGTCCTGTGCTGTGCTCTGACGTTGCCAATTTCCCGTGCTGTGCTCTGACGTTGCCAATGTCCGATGCTGTGCTCTGACGTTGCCAATGTCCCGTGCTGTGCTCTGACGTTGCCAATGTCCCGTGCTGTGCTCTGACATTGCCAATGTCCCGTGCTGTGCTCTGACGTTGCCAATGTCCGGTTCTGTGCTCTGACGTTGCCAATGTCCTGTGCTGTGCTCTGACGTTGCCAATGTCCCGTGCTGTGCTCTGACGTTGCCAATGTCCCGTGCTGTGCTCTGACGTTGCCAATGTCCTGTGCTGTGCTCTGACGCTGCCAATTTCCCGTGCTGTGCTCTGACGTTGCCAATGTCCGATGCTGTGCTCTGACGTTGCCAATGTCCTGTGCTGTGCTCTGACATTGCCAATGTCCTGTGCTGTGCTCTGACATTGCCAATGTCCCGTGCTGTGCTCTGACATTGCCAATGTCCTGTGCTGTGCTCTGACGTTGCCAATGTCCCGTGCTGTGCTCTGACGTTGCCAATGTCCTGTGCTGTGCTCTGGCGTTGCCAATGTCCTGTGCTGTGCTCTGACATTGCCAATGTCCTGTGCTGTGCTCTGACGTTGCCAATGTCCGATGCTGTGCTCTGGCGTTGCCAATGTCCTGTGCTGTGCTCTGACGTTGCCAATGTCCCGTGCTGTGCTCTGGCGTTGCCAATGTCCTGCGCTGCGCTCTGACGTTGCCAATGTCCTGTGCTGTGCTCTGACGTTGCCAATGTCCTGTGCTGCGCTCTGGCGTTGCCAATGTCCTGCGCTGCGCTCTGACGTTGCCAATGTCCTGTGCTGTGCTCTGACGTTGCCAATGTCCTGTGCTGTGCTCTGGCATTGCCAATGTCCTGTGCTGTGCTCTGACGTTGCCAATGTCCCGTGCTGTGCTCTGACATTGCCAATGTCCTGTGCTGTGCTCTGACGTTGCCAATGTCCCGTGCTGTGCTCTGACGTTGCCAATGTCCTGTGCTGTGCTCTGACGTTGCCAATGTCCGATGCTGTGCTCTGGCGTTGCCAATGTCCTGTGCTGTGCTCTGACGTTGCCAATGTCCCGTGCTGTGCTCTGGCGTTGCCAATGTCCTGCGCTGCGCTCTGACGTTGCCAATGTCCTGTGCTGTGCTCTGACGTTGCCAATGTCCTGTGTTGTGCTCTGACGTTGCCAATGTCCCATTCTCCTACCGTCCTTTCAACAGGAGATGCAGACTCCCCGCCAGACCCGCATTTCACCTCGAGAGCTGACGTGGCGATTAGACTGCATTTGCCATCGGATTGGACCACAGAGGACGGGGTGAGCGCTGACGTGGCGCGGGCGGCGGCAGAGGGAGCACTGACAGCTGTCAAAGCGGCATTGGATGCTGATCCTCAGCTGCCAGGTGAGAAGGCGAGGGGGGCAAACATAGAATAAGGCTCCATCCAGCATTGAAATGGGGCACGCCTGAGAGTGAGAACAGCCGCCCCCTGCCACTGATTATAACCGGCTTGCATTACTTCTGAGGAGCCTATTTTTGAGCTTCTTGGAAGACACATACCCCAGTTCCTTGTCCTTCCCCCTATCAAGCACATGCTGCTTGACTGTTGCGCGCTTGTGTGAGTGTGTGTGGGAAGAGTGCGTTTGGGGTAATGAGGTGCAGTGTGGAGACGACTGGCTAGTTCGATGCTGCATCTAGTCTCGTATGCTCAAATATGCTCCCATTCCTCAGTCCGTATGTGTGCTGCTAACTCCACATGCATGCTCCCCACTCCATGTGCATGCTCCCCACTCCATGTGCACGCAGGAAAGAAGAGCCTGTATGTGCGAATGGGCTGCAGGGGCGACTGGCCTGACCTTATGCCGCCTAGTTGGGACCCCTCTGCAGAAAATAATGAAACTAGCATTGGAGGGGGGGAAGACAGCAAGTGATTGGAAGAAAGTGTTCTAGATAGAACGCATTCTGAGTTATTCGCCAGGAAGGACGGAAAGCTTCAAAAGAGTAGGGTTATAAGCTGTAATATATCTGATCAAGCCTTGGGAGGGCATGTGCCTGCCAGGATCCTCAATGAACTTGATAAAAGCACATGCCTCCGTGTGCCCATCAGCAGCAAGTGCCTTAAGCATGCGCTGAGGCACCGTGTGTGCGTGAGTTGCATACCACTCCCCCTTTTCTGGGGTTGGGCCAGATGGCCAAATCAAAGAGAACGATTCCCTTCGGATTGGGGATGGGGGTCTTGATTGGAAACATGACACGGTGAGCCATTTTGTGTCAACATTCATACATGTGGTAGGAAATATACGAACTATTAGTTAGGGTTAAGACATATATGGGGTACAATTCGTAGACATACCCAACTGTATTCTCTCCCCTAAACAATTCTCTCGACATGGTATAAAGCTAGATTTTGCTCCTAGCCGTCACGCTTCTGCCCCAGGCGCTATCCACTCCCCTCCCACCCTAGCTTGGTACCTCCGTGGTCCTAGCTAGACTTCAGGCTGTTGCTCTAGCCTGCGCCCTAGCCTAGGCTCTCGTTCTAGGCTGCTGCCCTGCTCGCCTCTGCCTACCGCCAGCTAGCCGCCGCCAGCTCGCCGCCACCAGCAGCCGCCGCCAGCCAGCCAGCCAGCCAGCCGCCGCCTCCCAGCAAGCCGCTCCCGCCAGCCAGCTAGCCAGCCAGCCACTGCCAGCCAGCTGGCCAGCCAGCCAGCCGCAAGCCAGCCGCCAGCGAGCTAGCTGCCAGCCCGTTGCCAGCCAGCCGCCCGCTGCCAGCTAGTTGCCAGCCAGCCGCCAGCCAGTCGCTAGCTCGCAGCCAGCCAGCCGCCAGCCCACCGCCAACTGCCAGCAAGCCGCTGGCCAGCAGCCCTTCACTAGCCAGCCGCCAGCCGCCAACCGCAGCTAGCCGCCAGCCGCCAACCGCAGCTAGCCACCAGCCGCCAGCCGCCAGCCAGCTCCCCGCTCCCTGCCAGCCGCCCGCCAGCCACTGGCCCGCCGCCAGCTGCCAAGCAACCGCCAGCCGCCGGCCACTAGCCGCTGCCGCCTGCTGCTGCCCGCTGCCACCTGCTGCTGCCTGCTACTTCAGCCGCCGCAACTCCAGCAGCTACAGTCGCTATCGCCGCCGCTCCTACAGTCACCGCCGTTGCTCCTTCCGCTGCCGCTACAACCGCCGCCGCCGCTACAGAGACGCCACAGCCACTGCAATTTATCAGCTGCTGCCACTGCCGCTGGCCTGCCGCTCGCTGCTCCCGCCTGAAGCTCACTGCTGCCGCCAGCTCCTACTGCCTGCCTGCCATTGGCCGCCTGCCGCCTTGTGCCTTCCAGCCACCAGCTGCCATCCAGCCGCCTTCCAATCGCCAGTTGCCATCCAGCCACCTTCCAGCCGCCAGTTGCCATCCATCCGCCTTCCAACCACCAGCTGCCATCAATCCGCCTTCCAACCGCCAGCTGGTGAACCAGCACGTGGACTACGAGCTCCTGGAGGCCTACATCACAGGTGAGCTCGTTGCACAGCTCCACGCCATCGAGGTACACTACAGGGCTGCCTACCTTGAGCCACAGCCGCAGCAGCACCCACAGCACCAACAGTGGCAGATGCTGCGGTGGGGTCCTGGGGGTGTTGGGCACAGTGGAGGCCCTGCAGGTTGGGCCCCGGGGCGGTCACTCCCCTGGGGTCCGCATGGTTTCTCTGGAGGCCCGAGGGCCTCGGGGCCTGGAGGTCTAGGTCCCACTACTGTCTGTAGTCTAGGAGCATCTGTTATGTATCCACTAGGCTCCCCCCCTACCCCTAGTACGGCGGCCCTCGCTTTCACACTTGACTTTGGCCTGTGTCACTGCTTCTTCCGAGACTGCACTGCAATCTTTCGAGACCACAATGCACTCACACAGCTTCCTGCACTGGTACCAGTCTCCCTAGGTGACTCACCTGCCACAGTAGTTGCTCACAATACCACTGCTCTTCCTTGTCCGGCTGTCCCGTCTGGCTCCCTCACCGGCTTGCATATCCCTATATTTTCCAAGAACTTGGTTGGTGTTGGCCATATCCAGGACCTCAACGTCACCACTACGTTCTCTGGTCGTGAGAGGTATCCAGCCTACATAGACGCCGCCATGGGCGGCCGTCTAGCCACTTTTGACCGCGACCTTGCGTCCGGTCTCTTCACACTGCACACGGAGTCCCCCGAGGTAACCGCGCCCACCCAGGTTTCCGTGTCCTGCTCCTGTTGCTCCCTCACCCACCCGGCACTCTTGTGGCACCACCACTTAGGTCACGCTGCGCTCCCACACTTATGTCACATGGCACACCACGGTCTAGTCACTGGTCTCCCGCGTCGCTCCCCGCCCTCCCCGCCTCGGTAGCGCCCGCGTGCACCTCATGCGTCGAGGGTCGGCAGCGCGCCGCCCCTCACTCCTCCTCGTTTCCTTCCACTACTGCTCCGTTACAGAATGTCTGGGGCCCCGCCCCGGTCCAGGGGCCTCGCGGGGAGTGCTACTTCCTGGTAGTTGTCGACGACTTCATGCGGTTCACCACGGTTTTCCCTGGTGACGAGTTTGTTTCCGATTGGCTAGGTCAAGTTTGTCGTGCGGAGGGCATCACCTAGACGTTCACCCTTCCGGGCTTGCCGCAGCAGAATGCGGTAGTTGAACGACGCATTGACTTGGTCATGGAGGTGGCCCGCACCTCCATGGTCCATGCTGGTGCACCTCATTTTCTACAGCCGTTCATGATTTGCTACGCGGCTTACCAGCTTAACATTGGTCTTGCTCCTCGGAGCCATAGGTTTCATGGCTTCTCTAGACTGGGTCTCCCAATGACGCGTCGGTGTTCCACGTCTGGGGCTGCCTAGCTCACGTCTGCCCCTCCGGGATTGACAAGCTCTCAGTTCGCTATTTCGCCCCCCGGAATCCTCTCCAGATTGTTTCCCTCCTCGCTCTCCTCCATCCTCTGTCCTTTCTCCCGCTCCCCCTCGCCCCCAGTCCCCCGCCCTTCCCCCCTGGGTCCGTCGTCCCCTTGGTGCTCGTCTTGTCTCTCCTTGTGCTAGTGTCCACCACATGGTTCGTTGCTCTCATGCTCCTTCTGTTCTTGTCCTACTGCTCCCTCCCCAGTCGTCCCTTCCGCTAACCCTTGCTCCTCCCTCTGACCCTGTTCGCACTGCTCATCCAGTCGTCTCTCGCTTACTTGCATCGCTTGCACTGACCCTATTGCTCCTTCTGAGGGTGTCTCTTCCCTAGTCACTGCTATCGCTGACTTTACCGTGAGCCATCGCCTTGACTACGCCTCCACTCTGGTCTCTAACCTTGCATGCCCTTCTTCCGTCGGGGGTGCAGGGTGCACCTTCCCTTAGCACTGACGTTCAAGAGGATAGGCAATACGACCTAGCTGTCCTTGCAGCTACTGTACCTCATCTCTTTGCCATGCTTGTGTCCCCAAAGAGTGACCTAGACGCCCTAGACATCCCTATCCTGCGTTCCTACGCTGAGACAGTCTCGGGTGCTTGGGCAGCTCAGTGGATACAGGCCATGGAGGCAAAGATGACATTTTATAGATCCACAGGCACTTACGTCGGCGCAGTTCCTCCCCTTAGAGTGAACATAGTCGATGGCATGTGAATCTATAAGGTGAAGCACCTGCGTGGAGAGCCGCTTGTGTTCAAGACGCACTGTGTGGCTAGAGGTTTCAGTCAGAGAGAGGGTGTGGACTTCTTCCATATCTTCTTCTAGACCTTCTCCCTTACCCCAAAGATGACTACTCTTCGGGTGCTCCTCCATATACTGTAGTGGCAAAGCGTGACTACGAGCTCCACTCTTTGGACTTCTCGACATCCTTCTTACGGGGCAGCCTTTATGAGCAGATCTACCTGCGGTGCCTAGTAGGCTTCACCAAGTCCTTCCCACCTAGGACCCTGTAGAGCCTGCACCGCCCTATCTACGGTCTGCGCCATGCGCCCCGTAAGTGGCACGACACCCTCCGCACTACACTTGCGACTCTCCACTTCTTCCCGTCCTCTGCCGACCCCTCACTCTTTGTTCGTGCTGGTACGACTCTGTTCTACAGACTTGTGTACATAGACGACCTCATCTTTGATACTCCTGACAGAGTCGCACTGACCTTAGTGAAGGCCGAGCTGCCCATGCAACACGTGTGTACTCTCCTGGGAGATTTGGGGTGCTATCTGGGCTTAGAGATGTCTCGTAACCATGACGCGCGCACGATCACACTCTCCCACTCCCAGATGGTGAAGTAGATCCTCCAGCGGTTCGGCCTTCCATTCTCTTCAGCACAACCCACCCCTCTACTGTTGACCACAAGCTCTCTTCGCCTGTTCTGGCTGAGCTGGCCGAGCCTAGTGGTCTATACGCAGAGCTGGTGGGGTGCTTCATGTGCCCGATGACATGCACTCGACCAGATCTAGCGTACCCTCTTAGTATCCTTGCTCGCTTTATTGCGACTGGCAGACACCGACCAGAACACTGGTCGGCTGCCAAGAGGGTGGCACGGTATCTGGCGAGTACATCAAGGCTGGGGCTTGTGCTGGGAGGACGGGAGCCAGTGGTCCTCACTGGACACACATACGTATTGTGGGCTGACAACCTAGAGGAACATAAGTCCTTACAAGGTTACTACTTTAGTCTTGGTACGGGTGCAGTCTTGTGGAGGTCCACTAGTTCGTCCTCTGTAGCTCATTCCAATTGTGAGGCAGAGATCTACGCTGGGGCTATGGCGGCTCAAAAGCTCCACTGGCTGACGATCTTACTCACCGACTTAGGTGAGCGGCCTAGCTGAGCCCGGTCTTGTTTGCTTATAACAGGTCCATGATCCTCCTGTGTTGGGAGGCTAGACTTGAGGGCAGAGCGAAGCACATTCAGCTGCGATACTTCCTCAGAGGCCAACACTCTTGATATCTTCACAAAGGCTCTAGCGCCTCGTAACCATTAGCGGTTCTATACACAGCTCGGTCTAGTCTCAGCTGCGTCTCCCTTGCTTGTATCCTTATCTATGCTATACTGCCTTTGTACTTGTTACTCTATACCTATTTCCTTGTTACGCTTGTTGATTGGCCTTTTGTCCCCTGTCTCAGTGGTCAGACGAGTAGTTCTGTCGTGAGCTGTTTTGTTATGCAGTATACTCCAGAGGCTAGGCTAGTAGTTGTGCCTTGGATTTCTATTTTTTGTTAAGCTCTGCCCCCTATCTAGGCTAAGGGGTTTATTAATGTTCGTATATGTGTTACGAATAGTACAAACTATAGCCTAGCTAGGGTTCAGACTTATATGGGGTACAACTCTTAGATATACCCAACTGTGTTCTCTCCTAAAGTCAACA